ATAGTATCAAAGACAAAAATATGCTCTTTTATTTTAAACCATAACCTGGCAATGTTTCTTGAAAAAAAAAGAAGTCACTGAACTTTCGGCGTTCCACGTGTCGTTTTGATGAAGGTGCTCCGTCTTTTTTATAGAATTTTATATTTGTGTCTGGACTAAAAACGAAAGTATTATACTTTTTTATATTCCTTGTAATATAGTGAACACATATATATATATATATATTTGTGGTATAAAAAGTGAAAAGTAAATTGCCAAAAGTGCTTCAAAATCTGGAAGGCCCATTATGGCGGCTGGGTCATAAATGTGTTATTTTTCAAATTCTCATTTATTTTTAGTGTAAAATGTAAGTAAAAATAGTTTTCTTACATATTTCAAATAACTTGACGTTGTATTTATTTCAAATTCACACAAAACTATTTTAGAAATATTGTTCTAAATGTCACACAGATAAAATATTATAATTTTTTTTTTTAATTTTTTTATATTTTAATATTTTGGTATGAGTAACGAATGGAAACACATAAAACATAAAAATATACATATTTCCAAACATTTTCATATAAATTTCTCTAAAAACAAAAGTGTAGAATTCAAATTAGTAGTAATTTTGTCACTAAAATTGAAGTATATGCCACTACTATGCTTTACAGGGTAATTTACGTATTTTATTACAATTTCTAGCAACCAAAAATAATTTAATTCGATAGTTTATACATTCAACAAGAATTCTTGTAAGTTTTATCCATAAATATTGTCTCAAAGTGAAAATATAGCAAAATTTGCAATATAGCAAAAAATTTGCTAATTTTCAAATTTTCCCGCCATTACGGTCCCGAGCGAACGGGAGTATAACATGTCGCGCGCTCGCTTGGCGAACAGGAACAGATAAAATAAATATTTTTTTAATTTATTTATCTCTACAATACTCTTTCGTTTATATATCTTTTATTTATATTTATAATTGTTACCTTCGGTCGAGGATTGAACACAAGCTAAGTAAACTGCGAGGTTTTTATTAAAAAAAATAAAAAGTGGCTAAGTGGAAGTCAGTCCTTGCTCTAATATGGCTCCATACATTATTATTTAGTACAAATATTTATTAATATACGTTTTCTTTCTAAAGAAACTTTGTTTTTATTGTGACCTCAACTTACTACTTTAAGAGTCGTAGTTTTAGTTATAATATTATGGTATATATATATATATATATATATATATATATATAAAACTTTAAAATCTAATTAGATATTAGTTTATTTTAGATTAGATTTTAAAATAGACCCCGAAACTTAAATGGTCAAGTTGGCCTTTCATTGCTCTATTTTAAAAATATTAAAAGTAAAAAATATATTCGTTTCTATTGCTAGACTACATGCTAGGATTAGAAAAAATTTAAAAGGTTTTTTTCAAGTTAGTTCAATATCACAGCTGCTGTGTTTTGTAGCATTCCTTACGGGAGAATTTCTTTATTCGTACCTAATTCAAAGTTGCACAAAAATACGTTATTTTTTTTTACAAAATTTAATATAAAATAAGTCTATGTAAATTCCTTTATCGCAGATAAAGTGTTAGAGCTATTACCTCACAAGCGCGTCTCAAGGGCAAACTTTAATTTCGCAGGATATATTTCTCTTCTAACCAACTATCTGATAACTTCTTTTAGAGAAACGACATGAATTAGGGTATTTGTGTTTCCTACAAGATGCTTTTATAAATCTACCGACGCAGTATTTTTACGTTCATATTTTTTATTTCCTTACATTATGGTTTTTTATTACTACTTTCTGATTTCGATTTCTGAGGCTATTTATTTTGTAAACAATTACGAACACTAGTTTTACACTCCTACATTCCTTAATATTTTCATTATAGCAATCTTAAAAGAGGTATCTAAAACCCAGTTTTGAACATAGTTTTCCCCCATAGATTGTCCCATATACCTCATTGCAGACGGGTTGCCAACTTTAGTTCAACAGAAATAGTATGCTATAATATTATAATAACACATGTTATTTGCTAATTTCTTAGTCAAAAATACACACAGATAATTTTAGTGTCCTATTATTATATATAAAGTAATAAAAGATGAGTAACATAAGTAAAATATAGAAAATCATTATGTGAACCGATACCGACTCGAAATCTATACAAATAAATGAAATTCAAGTGTGTGTTTGTAAAGTCAAAATAACATATTTTTACTTAATAAATATGAAAGAATATACGGAATTAGTAATAATTAAAAAAAAAAAAACAATTTTAAAAATGTTTTTCTGTCTGTCTGTCTGTTTGTTCCAGCTAATCTTCGTAATCGCTGGACAAATTTTACGGGACTTCCACTGACAGATACTTTTACATAAAACATACATAAAACAAATATCAAAACTCTTGAAATTGAACTGTAATAGGTATATTCCGCATGGACGAAGGCATGGGGAAAACTAATAGCAAATAAATATTAAACGCTATAAAATTGTTAAAATTAATGTTATTGTAGTATTCATGTAAATATAAAAACCATTATAATATTGAAATGGAAACTTTAATCATGTATTAATATAAAAAAGAATAATTTAGCCTTTTATTTTACTTTCTTTTTTATTTATATTTGTAAAACATTACACCGTCACTAAGATTATCTCCTGTATTTTAAATGCAGTTTACGTACATAAATTTCACAAGGACGAATATACGCTTTACGCACCCGGTAGCTGGTTGCATTGCACAGGTCATCGTTTCAGTGTGTCTGTGAGTCCTACGAGCTTTAAATCGCTAAAATTTCTATGATGAATATAATTTTTAATTAGGAATTCAGAGGTACAGTAATACTTGGCTTTAGTTTTAAATTAAAGTTTTAACAAAAACAATGTTTTGGTAGAAATAATTTATCATATACTTACAAATATTGGATTACATCAAATATAAATAACATTTTAAATCACTAAAGTTAGTCTAATACAATGTTTGTACAACAACCAACTAAAATAAATAATAGTCAAATCATCTCTCACTTGTCAATTATTAAATATCTACCGATTATATAATAATATAGCATAAATAATTCTAAACACTAATCGAGACATAAACTTAGTTAATTCTTTAACTAATATGTTTAACTTGTATGTGTAACTTAATAAGAATCACTTTAATTATAACTTACTCAACCGGCGCCTCCAAGCCTACTATTTGACACTATAATACGATAGAATTAATCCAATTATAATGATTATTTATAGCTCTGACATGATAAGATTTATTATGTAAATGGTTCATGTGGTGTGTGTCTATTAGTGTTTGACTAAATTACACCTTGAATTAAATGTGAAAAATGATTTATTGGAAAAATCAAGTTTATTTCTTATAGTAACATGAAAAACAACAAATCTAATTATAATTGTGAAGAACACGTAACAAAAACCTTGTGGTACCCGTTAAGTGCGTTATTAAAATAAGTATTCACACGAATAGTTTAGAAAACTCGACCATAATACTCGACTAATTTTTTTTGTCCGCTAAGAGTTGAATAATATTTTTTCACAATTTTAAATTCAGTGACTTGCCTAGTGTGAACACCTAAATCCATTCAATAACGGCCGAAACTAATTTCACTGTCATATAATTATATCGTAAATAAATGTTCAAAAATATCGCTTAGTTTTTTCTACTGGGTATTCTAAAATCATTTTTTCACCTATGGTTAAAGCATAAATGACGTTTAATAAGTATTTTTGTAATTAATAATGAATATAAAGACCGACAATGCTTTTTCCTGGCAATGAGGCATTTTGCCTCAGTCCTCAGGGGATGACACTCTATAGGCCACAGCATTCACTTACTATCAGGTGGACTATATGCTCATTTGTTTTCTTAACTTATATGTAAAAAATGAGATGGTGACACTGCGGTGAGTTTCTTGCATTTTAAATAATAATTTCACATTTATATATGATATACAATTTTATATTTATTTGTGATGAAAATTTGACTCAAACTCGCGGTAATTTTTTCATGTAAGTGAGGGCAAACGAGCATGTGGTTCACCTGATGGTAAGTGATCACCGTTGCTTATGAATATCTGCAGCACCAAGAGAATCGTAGGTGCATTTTCGGCCTTTTAGAAAGGAGTAGGTTTTTTTCTTGAAGGTCCTTAAGTCGTATCGGTCCGGATAAAATGCTGGTGATAGTATTTTCCACAGTATGTTTGTGGGAAGCAGAAAATTCCGCGAAAATCGCAGAGTAGTGGCCATCATCGAGCCAGCCATTAAGACGGTTTTATTAGAAATGTGGGTGCTGCATTGTCTGTTTTTAAATTTTTCATATTACATGAATAATCATATAATAATATATATAATTGGCGTAGGGAAGTGACGACCCCATCGCCCGCTGACGTAACGGTTATGTGACAAAACCGCCAGGTTTTGTCACATAACGTTCTTCAGCGTTTCTTCAGCGCAGTCAGTCAGCATCTTGCCAAGAGGTGTTAGTGCCGTGCCTCGGCAAAAATTGAAGGTGCAAAGGCCCGCTTGTGCACATGGCCCACCATGCAACGGCGCCGGGTCTAGGCGTCTCCCGTTAAATGATGCCCACAAAAATGGATGATGGATTTGACTAGAATGCGCAAAGGGCCACTGCCTGGAGGCGCGTCGCCAGGGCGCGTCTGGAGCTGGCGCTGGACGCGACAGCATGCGAACTGCCAGCCGACGAGTGCGAGGTGCTGCACAACAACCCAGCAGCCCCTCGCATCCATCATCCCCACCAGCTGGCTTGGTGTCGGCAGGGTCTTCGCAGGCCCAGCAATCGGCACCCGCCACTGGTGGAGCACGCCGATTGCGTTGGACAAATCAAATGAACAGCAACGCATTGCGGTCGTATTTTAGGGCGAAAGGGGGAGAAATTGCAGGTTTTGCGTATCGGGCAAGGATGCATCGACTTTTGCTGAGCTGGAGCCATCTCTAATCGTCACCGAGCAAAACCTGGCAGACATAGTTCAGTATATCTTGCGCTCAAATACATTTGATGTCACCGAACTCGAACGGCTACGACGTGAGGCTGATCCTTCATCGGATGATAATGCTACGGCTAAGGATGCGGCGCCACAACTTGCAGAGCAACCGGCAAACGTGGATGCCGCCGTGAATACCCCAGTTTTGGTTGATTCAAACGATGATGAAACAGTCGTCCAGGAACTAAAACTGGAGCAAATGAGGAGTACATTGGATGAGGCGATTTTGGAAACGCGCAGTACGCCTGTTGAAAATCGACCGCGACTTCCCCGCATAGCCCTAAGCAAGCGGAATCGGGCTATCGTGAGGGCTCTGAACCCAATGCTGGTGACCTATTTGGAAGCCAGCTGGGACCTTTGCGAGACGGACTCAATTCTCTTTGACGCCGCACTGGCAGTCTGCCGTATTATAGGCGCCAAACTTTCCACGACTGGACGCACTACTGGACAAAGTATTGCTATCCCAACCTGGAGAACAAGAATTGAAGAACGTATCGCAAAGGCTAGGACCCTTATCGGCAGACTGATATGCTTTAGGTCAGGCAATACCAGGCCAAGGATTGTGCGCACCGACAGGATGGCGTTTGCTGGGACAAATGTTAGTTTTTCCTAGCCGGATATAATGCAAAAACTGACGGAGCGCATAGACGACCTGAAGCAGAGAATCGCTGCTTGGAGAAAGCGGATTCGACGATATATCGAGAGGTCGACACGGTTCAACCAGAATCGTTCAACCAGAGTGATCAGAAGAGGCTCTATAAATCATTGGAGCGACCAATGGTAAGTGGAATGGGCCCAGTACCGAATCAGGCCGACATGGTCGCATTCTGGCGTAACCTGTGATCAGAGCCCGTAAACCACAACGAGGGCCCTTGAACGGAAGTTGTGGTGAGTCAGTGTTCGGAAATTACACCCATGGACCCCGTCATCGTAACGCCGGATGACGTAGCTGAGGCAATCCGTAGGGCCCCGAACTGGAAAAGTCCGAGGCTTGACGGGCAGTAGTGATTACTGGCTGAAGGGGTTCATGGTGTGTCACGCTGTGCTCGGTCGACAGTTTCAAGAGACTCTCAACCGGAAGTCGCTCCCGAGCCTCTTCAATACTGGGATCACTCATTTGGTTCCTAAAGATCAGGGTGCCACAGACCAAATACCGCCCCATCACGTGTCTATCGACCATATGCAAGACACTAACGTCCAATTTGAGCGCGAGAATCACTCATCACCTGTACTCAAATCAGGTGATGTTGCGCGCTCAAAATTGATGTCGGGGCGGCAGTCGTGGAACGGTATTTTTGAAGAACCCACATCTTATGCATTATACAAAAATATGCCTCATTAAAACATTTTTTATACGTGGTAGAGCCATGCTGCAGTTATATTAGTAGTAAAGTTTTAGCACGAATAGGCCGGCTCGACCGGGGTAGGACCACGCTCTCACCGAATACCAGTGTGAAATAATAGCTTAGTGCTTCTGTGTTTCGTATGGTGAATGTCGAGAACCGGAGAGACTTTTTACTGAAAACGAGGCGTTCCATTTAGTCCTCACGGGTGACACGCATCTGCATTTTGATTTGTAATCGAGGATAGATGTAGATATCTATGGACCGCAGCAACCACCACAGGTGGATTGCGTGCTCGTTTGTCATTCTATCCTATAGAAAAAAACATACAAAATAAAGAGGTGTATTCATTTCAATGATGAGAGCCGTGGTGGCTCAGAAGAGCTCAGATGGTTAGCTCTCGCTGTAAATTTCACAGTATGCTAGCAAGCCGGGTTCGATCCCCGCTAGCAATATTGAAATTGTTAATTGTAATTTTAAGTACTGATCTACCACGTGCTTGGCGGTGAAGAAAGACATTGTGAGGAAACCTGCACGTCTGTGAAATAGGAAAAAAATATTTCGAAGACATGTGAATTTCGCCAACACGCATTGGGGCAGCGCGACGGAAACTTCTTTGCCCTAAAACCCTCTGAGAAATAAGGGGATGCCTTTGCCCAGCTGTGGGACATAAAAAGGCTGTAACTTAACTAACTTAAGTATTTAGTTCGACGATGAGAGAGCCCTGGTAGCTCAGATTGTTAGCTCTCGCGTTAAATTTCACAGTACGCTAGCACACCGGGTTCGATCCCCGCCGACATCAATGAAATTATTAATTGATTAAAACTACTTTTACGGATTTATCGCGTTTTATTTATATTAATTTTAATACCCGACGTTTCGTGTGGAAGGAAGAGTTTTATAAGCAAGTAGATGGTGTTGCGATGGGCTCACCTGTATCTCCCATTGTCACCGATATATTCATGGAACACTTTGAGGAGAAAGCCCTCCTTACTGCACCTATTATCCCAAGGTTCTACAAGCGGTACGTAGACGATACTTTCACAATTTTACCATCAGACAAAGTAACTGCATTTTTAGAACATCGTAATTCCATAAACCCTAAAATTCTATTCACTATGGAGTTAGAGACAAATAATTCCTTAGCTTTCCTAGATGTGTTAGTCATCCGAAATCCTAACAACACCATAGATCATACTGTGTATAGAAAAAAGACCCATACAAACCGATACTTAAATGGTGAATCTCACCATCATCCTTCACAGTTAGCTACTGTGGGCAAATCTTTGTTTCAGAGAGCACGAGGGATCTGTGACAGCAAACACCTGGCCGCCGAGCTTCAGCACGTCAAGCAGGTTCTGCACGACAACAAGCTTCGGGTTCCGCGCCTCCGTCACAGTGACCGAGTGAAGCCGGCCACAGTCGAGCGTGTGCCTGCTATACTACCATATGTCAGAGGTGTCACAGACAAGATTGGCTACATCTTGAAGCGAGCTTCTATTAAAACATTCTACAAGCCGCCGAAGAAGATTAGTCAGTTCTTACTATCCGTCAAGTGTCATATTCCTCTACAAGATGCAGGAGTGTACAAGTTTGATTGTGATTGTGGTCTCTTATATATAGGGCAAACAATGAGATCAATTAGAACCCGCGTAAAAGAACATATAGCTGACGTGAAGCATCAACGTTCCGGGAAGTCTGCAGTTTGCGATCATATTCTAGATGGCCCCAACCATTACATCAGGTTTGATAGACCACAAATCCTCGCGAAAGAACATCGATTCCTAGCAAGGATGATACGTGAGGCTATTGAAATTAAAAAACATCCTAATTTCTATAGAGAAGGAGGCTGGGTACTACCACCTGCTTGGGATCACATAATTAATAAAATTAAAACTAAACCCAAGCATACCACTGCAAGACTTCACAATACAGTTAGTTCATTCTGCGTAGATCGGACCAAAAACAATAATTAAAAAGCTGAATGTACTCCGGGTTAACTTTGACATCGGGACGTCAGTCACCTCAGTCCCCCGTGACCATGGGTGCTGAAAAGCACCCGAAACGTCGGGTATTAAAATTAATATAAATAAAACGCGATAAAATCCGTAAAAGTAGTTTTAATCAATGTATAGTGTTCGCGTAAATATAAAAAAAAGACATTATTAATTGCAATTTTAAGTGCTGATTTACCTCTTACTCGGCGGTGAAGGAAAACATCATGAGGAAGTCTGACTGTCTGAGAAATAAAAAAAAAATTTCCAAGGTATGTGCAGTTCGCCAACATGCATATGGGCAGCGCGGCGGACACTTCATTGCCCTAAAACCCTTTCAGAAGTGAGGGAAGGCCCAGCAGTGGGACGGAAATAGGCTGTGTAATTTAACTAACTTAACAATTTCCACGATGATAGTCTGAAATAATTAGCTGAACAAATTATAGCTAGGCAACAATAAAAACTAAATGGACGAATGGACATAAGTCATTGAATAAATATATGACATAGGTACTCATTTCTTTAAAAGGCTCCTGGTACTTGTTGGATTTACTGTATCTACAATTCAATTAAATTACGAATGGTACTGTAGGCAGCAGCAATCTTGCTCTAGGTTGAAACATAACGCAAAGTTACACGATTTGCAAAGCACAAACAGATAAAATGTACATTAAAAAAAAACAATATAAGAAATATGTGTCTGAGGTGACCTTAAAAACCACAACCTGTTCATATTAAATTAAAAATATAAACAATTCAAATATAAAATATTAAAACAAAAATATAAAAAAGCATATTATATAAATACTTTCTAATTTTCTGATTTAATAAGTCTTATGTTAACATACATGACGTATCCAAATGCGACATTAAATTTTTCATAAATCATCGAATAATCGTGGAGTCAACCAAGCTCCATTTCTCTGCTCGAGGGCGCTAGATTCTTTACCATTCTAACCATTCAACCGAATTTGAACTTGATGCAGTATGGCAAACTTTAGTTCCTTTTTTCGCCACCCGCAAAACAGAGAACTAGAATTCACTACAGCGGACGTCTCAAAAATGGACACTATTGCACCTATTGCGTATTTACATATAAATTTTGAAAATATTGCACTTTATCCTCATTTTGATGTACTAAAACTGTGAACGATGAACAATTACACATATTTTAATACAAAACTGACTGTCAACACTAAAATTTTACGTACATTTCAAGTCAACTTTCCTCAACCAGCATGTTAGTTCTAAGATAGCAGTTTGCTTCATACATATTAAAAAACGATTTTACACGTACTTAATAAGATAAAACACAAAATGAGATTACAAATAAGAAGGTTACTTACCCTGGCATTGTTTTTACATAATTCACTACACAATAAATATAAATTAATACAAAGTAATTACAGCGCGCGTCAATCACACTAATGGCTGACTCAAGGAACGGACGACATTTAAGAATGATTTAAATAAAATATACTACTAAAGTGTATAAACTGTGGGGTTTTTATGCTAGCCTTTTTTATCCTATACACATTGACCTATGGTAGAATGAGTTAGAAATAGCGCATAATGCTTTGTTTCTTCATTAAAAGAGCGGGTAAAAAATGTCTAATACTTGGACGCCCGCAGTCAACGGAGATATTTTCGTGTCCAAGTCTTGGACATCCGCAGTTGAGAGGTTAAATATAACAAACAAAAACCTTTGCTAACCAGCATGCTAGAGAGAATTAGCAAGCTTTTCTCCATCAGTCTATATTTTTCATTACATTTGGTGGTAGCTGCAACTCAAATGCAAGCAGAGGCTGCCAAAATGTAGGCGGAGTAATCCAAAGTCCAAGGCTAGGCATTTCGTTAAGTTAGGCAGTAAAATGGGAAATGCATTAATTTTATGTTCAAATAAAAATAATAAATAAATTGATTTGTTTAATGTTTTGTTTCAATTCACACATTATTACTATAGGTAATTGAATAAAAACAGTATTCATGAGTCATCTGTGTATGCGCTCTGCAAGAACTCGCCCAGTGCCAGTTACTCGTCCTGTATTTAAAACATAAAATTTTAAGATTATTGAAATATTACAAAGACAATAAAGTCTAATCGAATATGTCCTAAACGACATTATAAAGCATTGTAGGTCCTGTATCTTCAAGGCCATCATCATTAAAGCTACCAATAATCATTTCTTTGGATATGGTAACATTTGGTGACATTAATATATACATGTTTTGTAGTACTGAACACGCACTGACAATTAGGCCAGCAGCATAATAAT